GCTCCAGAGGCTTTCCCCAAGCCTCTGGGAGGGCGAAAACAGCCTACCCTGGACTCCAGAGGCCCTCCGGAGGCTGGAAATGGGCACTTTTCCGCACTTCCGGAACGTGCACGCCGCTTCCCCTGCGTTCCCTCCTGTGCATGCACACATGTCTCCTGCATGCGCCCTGCCCTCTGTGCATCCTGAAAATCAGCTGGCCAGCGGGAGGCGTGCATGCACATTGGACGTGAGCTGGGCGATGGCTTGCATGCCCGCAGAGAGGGCTCTGCGTGCCAGCTGTGGCACATGTGCCATAGGTTCGTCATCACAGCTCTAAGAGATCTGGATTTTTGCAGCCCAGATCTGGTAGCTCCAAGACCTGGAATAAGCTTCAGCCATGAGTATTTATTGATGTGCCAAGCTATCCATTACTAACTCACAAATGCAATATCAGTATTGTTTGAAGTGTTAATAAAATTAAGGGAGTCAGGAGTGCCCACTACTTCCAAGAATATTGTCAAAAAAAGGCCAAACCCACTTCTAATCACCAGGAGACAAAATTATCTTTAGTGTGAATGCCCAAATGTGGTAACTCTCCTAGTTTATATGAATTCTGAGTTCACCATTTGACTGTCCTGTGCTCTGAGGAATCTGAAGAGAATAAAGCTGGATAACAATTGAGTTCATAGTCCTGGAAAATGCCAAGACTCGTTTTTTTCATCAAACTCATAATTGTTAGTTGAATTGGTTTTAACAAATAGTGTATTGATCTTTCTTTAATTAAAATTACATTTAATTGTATTAAAATTAAAATACAATTTTAAAATACAGATTAAAATTTGTTTTGTGCACAAAAAAGCAAGCTATAAAGTGAGAAGATAGTCAATACTATTATTACTTACTAATACTATTATATCATTTATGCTTCTACTAAGAAAGTTATCTAATTGGGTAATGAAACATCTGCAAACAAACACGTTTTGAGCACCCAGAATTCAAGTTATATCTCTTCTTTCCTTTAGAAACTGGGAGGAACAAATAAGAACCTCAAAACAAATGAAATGGGAGAGGCAGGCTATCCTTTGGTCCTCTTAGTCCTTGTTTTAGTACCATAGTTCTACCATATCAAGGTTGCCAGAATTCATATGACTAATGGCTGGCAGCAGTGTGATCCTGGAGTCCTAGCAGCCATCTAATAGTCATTCTGACTTTTGCAACCCAGATATAGCAATCCTATTTCTAAGTGTTGTTGATATGTAATTGCCATTATGTTAAGATATAATACACTTTGTTTGTTTGAATACAGCATGTTATTCAAACAGAGTCTTTTAATCAATGTTAATATTGAGCATATTGTATAAACCCAGCCACATGGTTGGCAGTGATCTGGACCACCTGGGTAAGTGATGAAGTACCATTATTGATGCATTTTCCTTATGCTCTTAATTGCCCAGAGCCTCCAACATCATGCCAATAAATGGAATGGCGTTCAGGTCTGTCCTTCTTCACAAAGTTGTCTTTCAAGGTTTCTTTTAGTCAACAGACTAAAATCTGGCTGAACAACCAGTCTAAAGTCTGACTTCCATTGTTTATCTCCTTGGCTAGGACATTTTCCTCCTTCATGCAGCCTCCAGCCAGAATCTGGTGTGGATTTTTTGAGCTCAAGCAGGGAAGCAGTGCACTGTTTCTGTGCTGTATTATTCAGGTGGCTGCGGCTTGGAACTATGGTGGATGTCATGACTATTTAACAGTGATGTCATCCTAAGGAGCTAGGCCCCATTCCTGGCCTTGGGGATAACAGAAAGAGCACTGGCAGCTGGAGCTCCCTTGAACTGCCATCAAGTGCAATAAACATCCTCTCCATTTCTATCAATGTGATTAATGGCTTTTCTGGGGAATAGTCCTGGTGTATGTTACGCCAAGTGGCACTGAAGGCTGACAGCTGCAATGGGATATGAAGTAAGGATTTTTGAGGGATGCGTATTTTGTTCCTGTAAATCTATGATGGTCTCGTGAGTGATTCCCAAGTTGGTTGGAGCTTAACTCCAGCATTTTAATCTCACTGTGATGTGTGATGATCCTTCACACTTGGAAACAGCTGAAGTTAAACTTTCTGCACAAGAAGGAAAAAGATCAGACTGGTTTGGATGCCTGTTCACAACCAGCGTATAACTTCAGGAGAGCTAATCATGTTCCCTTGGCTTATTTTGGCTCTAGACTAGTTTTTATGATGTTCTAGGAATGTTGCTGTTGAGTGAAGTTTTATTTCACTATTATGGGCCTCATCACAATATCACTTGATGCTATTAGGTGGAAAAGAATGGATTCAGAGCTGACCTGGCCATCTGAGATTTCCCTCTGAGTTATGAGCGACTGTGACTACAATAGGATCCCACCATTAATTGCCTCTATAGTCCCTGACTCTAGGTAGTAGAAGACATTACCCAGAGCTCCTGTCAACTGCTGCTTGCAATACAATGGTCACCAGTCCATTTCAGTTGCTGTGCTGCCTCAAATGCTCCTTGTACTTTACCTGGCTCTCAACATGAAAGGAGATGCTTGCTCCTTTAGAAGGAAGCATAATATGTAGCTGTAACAACCATCACTGTTTCCCCGTATTCTACTAATTTCTGTAGTTGGATATTATTTCCTGAGCTGATATTATGAATAAAGAAATGGACAACCTGGTTGTTGCTACAGAGAAAATGCTCTGCAGATGCTTAGTTAGATCTTCTGTAATTGTCCCCTAAGTGTCAGAAGCAAGTTTTAAAGCCAAACTCTAACTCCATATATATGCATTTTGTAGTATGATGTGAATTTCGGTCTGATAGCTTATAGTTCTGTAGGTCATTTTATGATCATTTGTTTCGGGATGGAATTAGAAGAGAAAGAGGAATAAAGTGTTTTAACTCCTGAATTTTGCATTTGAAATTAATTTTTAAATATATAAAGAGTACTAGTTTGAAAATCAGGTAATGGCTACATCTGCATAACCACAGCTTGTAAGATCGGGTTTTATTGAATAAAGTATAACTTGTCTTTGAAGGGCATTGCAGCAATAATGTTAGTAACAATTTGCACATGTGTTTTTCCTCTGGTTTATTTTATTTTGTAGATAGCAAAAACACTGCAGAGATGTAGATAGGGAGGGAAATTTGTAGAGTTGTGATTGCAAGCAAATCAGAACTATGAAAAGTCAAATTCCGTTACAGGCTTGTGGAATTAATTTTCTTATTTTCTGCCAGGAACCTAATAATGTATTGCCTAATCAATTGGGGCTTTTCCTGTATTTGTTCAGTTGGAGGTTGTAATCTATAAGAGCATTTGTTTTCAATTGCTGACTCCTCCTCATAATATTATCCCTCCCCAGGTTTTCAAATGCCCTTTCCTCTCCTGCATTTCCAAATGTTTGTTCCATCATGTCTTTGAGACAAGGTTGCTGTGACTAATGTATTCTACTGCACATTGAATTGGTTCTTTGGTTTTTAATATTCAGATCATCAGTTTATATAGAACTATATTGCGATTCATGGTTTTTAGTTTTGATGATCTGTTTATCTTCTCTATTAATCTTCTCTGTTTTAATCCAAGTGTAGATTTGGGGAATTGTACATTGCCCCAGGTTGAGAGGCTTTTTAACCCTATAAACAGAGCTGTCTGAGGGAGGTTAAAAAATTGTCAAGATGCAGCCATGACTGTATGATTGAAGCCCCACCCCATTCTAATATATGCATTACTGCTTATTGAAAAGTGTGGGGCTTTGCTTGCTTGGTCAAAGCAGCCATCTTCAGTTCTCTCATCTCTCTATATAGATGCCCCTGCTTGTAAATTAAGAAATAAGCTTGTCTGTTTCTTGGGGGGGTTCAAAATGGCCTCTGCTTCAGAAACTCTGCTTCTCAGGACATGATTTTGTGTAGTGGTAAGTGTTATCAGGCACAAAGAATCAGGGTCATCTGTTAGATTGCAGCATAGAAGATTTATTCAAGCCCATAGACAAAAATCTAGCTGACTAAAGTTTAATCCTAAACTGGCACAGGATAAGGGTCAATGGAATTCAGGTTGGTGGACTTGGACCACTTGTGGGAACCTAACAATTCTAAGCTGATGACATGCTTAACTCCACTTCCCCCTCCAGCTCTGCCTGCTTTTCTCCCACAAGTGTAAAATATGAATCGATAGCAACAACACTCCTTCCGGGCTGCAGGTATTCATTTTTAAATGCCACAACTTTTCATACTTAAGAGTTTAAGCCAGGTTTAGCCAGTAATGCTACTCTGTAGCAAAGTCCAGCCACCTTCAGTCCCTCTCCTTTAGGATGGGCAATGCTGGTTTGAGGACAGACTTGCATCCTTTTAGTCAGATGTTGTTGAGGATAATACAGAAGAATCTCACGGAGGTATTTTCAAGCAGAGTGGATGAAATTCAATTAAAATTTACAACTGAGGAACTAAAGCAGTTGATTTACAGGAAAACAAATCAAATGTACACTGGGGAACAGCTTTTATTCTTGGCCCCCAGAGGAGATGGATTTAGATTTAATAACATTACTAGTACCTCATACATATTGTATGTTATCTTCCCTCCCCAATCTTTTTTAAACAAACGTAGCTACAAAAACATAAGTACATGTTCTGGTGGGATGGCTTTAAGCCACTTACTTAGATCACATATTGCATTAATCCATAGGTTGTATGACCCATATTTTATTAAATAAAACACCCACTGTAAGCCATAAACCAGGGTATGTAAATCAAAATTGGCTGGGTTCCCAGAATTGACTAAGCCATAATAAAGTTTGTTCTTTTAGCTTTGTGTATTTTGTGAGCACAGACGCAAATTCTCATCAGTCTACTCTAGGCACTTCTCTTCCCTTTCAACAATGCAATGCGTCCTCTTCTTTTGGCAAACTTGGAAGTTGGGGGTTTCCAATCTGGGATGGCCATCTGCTCTCTGGTGTTTTTTACACCCCCCCCCCCAAGTAAATGCTTGTAACAGTGTGCATTATCTTTCTACCTTTGCAGAGCTTGGACATTGAGGATGAAAAGAACTTTATGAACAAAAGAACTCCTGATTCAGCCATAACTGAGAATGGGCATCAGTTGTTAGGAGGTAAGGAAAGGAAGTTCTTTTAGTGAGAACATAAATTTTTACCAGTTTCTGATGTGGTGAAAGTCAAACTGGCTTTTCGAGTGATACTGCACAGGCTCTGGAAGTTTGATTCGCTCTTTTTTTCCTGCCTAGAGTACAAGAAGGAAAATATCTATTTAAGCTAGGAAGGAAATAAAGAATGTCTTTTAAATCACTAAATATTTTGACGTTTACCACATTGAGTTTAAACCCAGGTGGATGGCCAGCATTCTGTTAACAAGTTATAATGGTTCAAACTGAAATAGTATTTCATGTTTTAGGAGAGGGCGATTTTTTAAAAATATGTGAATAAGACCATTGTATGTAGTACCCTATTTAGTTTATTTATCAACTACCTCTGTTTAGTGATCATTAGCAAATACGATGGTAATAAAAAAAAATTCTGAATAATGTGCACATTCACAACCAAATTTAGTATGCCTGACAATCATGCATGCCAGAGTGAGAATAAGGCTGCCATAGCTGTACAAGAACTTTATCTGGATAAGACGCCAGCAACCACTGTTCTTTGCAGCATCTTCCTCTCTCAATTAGAGGTAGTCCTCAATTTACAACAGTTCATTTAGTGATCATTCAAAATTACAATAGCACAGAAAAATGTGACTTATGATCATTTTTTACAGTTACGACTTTTGCAGCATCCCATGGTCATTTGATCAAAATTCAGATGTGAGGAGATGGACAAATTAACAAAAGAGCTCAAAGAAAATATGGAATATTATATAATCTGGCACAAATGGTATAAGTGGTTAGAGACTAGAAATAATGGATAATAAAAATAGGGGTGAAATTTGAAAATGGAAAGAATGAATATGATAATGTATAGAATGTATAAAATCAATATGATTGTTAAGAAGTACAGTGTAATTAAAAGAGAAAGTGACAAGAAGAAAATGGAATAGTATAAAGGGAAACGGGGGAGAATGTAAATATTAGAAGATGACCACCATGAAATAGCTGTTAAAAGAATATATATATATATATATATGCATATATACATGTATATATATATATATATATATATATATATATATATATATATATATATATATATATATTATGTTTTGTATTTGTCATATTGTGTTATAATAAAAATTAAAATTAAAAAAACAACAAAATTCAGATGCTTGGCAACTGAAAGATCATATTTATGACCTTTGCTGTGTCTCAAGGTCATGTGATCCCCTTTTCTGTCCTCCTGACAAGCAAAGTCAATGGGGAAGCCAGATTCACTTTACAACCAGGTTACTAACTTATCAACTGCAGTGATTCACTTAACAATTGTGGCAAGAAAAGTTGTAAAATGGGGCAAAATTCACTTAACAACAGAAATGTGGGCTTGTCGTACGTTGAGGACTACCTGTATGTGTTTATTTAGCAACCATTTTGCTTAACAACTTGGTCTTTGGAATGGAACTAGTCATTAAATGGGAAGTGGGTATATAGGAATGAAATAAATATTGATCCATTTTTAAAACATTTATTGAAAAGAAAAGTCCTTGGTGCTCTCTGAGCTTGGTTTTTTTCTGGCAGACATGTTTTTGCAAACAACCAAGCTCAGAGAGTACCAAGGATGCCTCATTTCAGCCCTGAGGTACAAATATTCTCCTTTAGGCAGCATAAACAAAGTCATGAATGTCTTTTAAACAACTAAAAAAAAGTCTATGATGGAAGCATAAATTTTCTTGGTTCCATATCTGAACATATCCCAATAAATATCAAAAATGGAACTTACTGGGCTGTATTGTCAGAAAAAAGTTGGAGATTGGTGTTCTTGTTGTTTATATGCTGTAATCAGGCAATTAGTTGGCCATTTGTTTACTTTGCTTAAAGGAGTCTCATATTTGTGGCGTTTGAACCTTCCTTAAATGATATTAATCTAAGAAAAATAGTATTTACAAAGAAGAACTCCCTGGAAAATTTGAGACAGTGTAGAATTTTAAATAAAAATAATTGATCCCAACGTAGTTTTGCTCTTTTCCTCACCAGCTCTGGCTAGTTTCAACCAAGAAACACTCTTCTCTTCACTTTTCAGATTCTCCTCTTGAGGCACATGCTCCAGCCATGTCTTCACGGATGCCCCACCAGCCTGTTACTGCAGTAACTAGAGTACCGGAAACGTTTTCAGGAGAAATGGTTGGCTCGCCAACTGTGCCAAACTCTCCCGGTGGGCAGCAGAGCAATGCTCATAATGAGACTGTGTCCAAAACATTGATTCAAGCAGGTAAAATAATCCCCATTTGTGCAAGTCTAGCTGTGCAAAGGTACCTATTAGCGCTATGCACCCTTTGAAAATGATGTGGAAGAAATGCTTTTGAACTTCACATGAATACAGTGCCTCTCTGCTATTCATTAAAGCAGTTTTCTTTTCTTCATATCCTAAGAAACTACCCTAAGAGTCATATGGTGAATCAACTTTTAAAGTGGGAGCACTTTTATTCAGGATTCTGCATAACCCCTGAAAAAAAAGCTGTGGCTTCTTTAATGAATAGCAGAGAAGTTCTCTACAAGACTCCAAATATGATGGAATTACTGGAAGTGGTTTTCATCAGTAACCCAGGAGTGTCCCATTGCATCCATTTCCTCACACATCTCTTTAAAAATATCTTAGAGCTAAACCTGTGGGTAAATGTGAGAAAGAAAAACATAACTTTTTTGTGCATTAAAATTGGGCCGGTCCTTTTCTTTTAAATAAAAACATCAGAGAAGTAAGGCTTTGTTCTGGGAAGTGTTATCTCTCACAATGCATTCCCACAACATATTTAACTTAGTTACAAAATTAAACCATTTGTACACTCACATAGAATCTCATGCTAGTCAAATGGGCTGTTGGGCAAATGCTGACTTGTTGACACGTAGCCTTTTGATATGAGGGATCTAACCTGGCTTGATGGGTTAACGGTCTAATTTTGAGCTCTGATTTTCTTCTCTCTATAAAACAAAATGACATTTTTTGCTCTTTGTTAAAAAAAAGAAAAAGAGGTGAAAGGTGCTAGCAGTTCAACCTCAAGCACTGCGAAGAACTGGAACGTGAGTTCAGTGAGGACAACAAATGCTTCCTTTACTTCAGGTTGGCAAATGTGTTTGCATATATTTTCATTATGTTTGAATAATACTTTTCTATGCTATTATACCATGGTATGGAAAAACTGACACAATAAATAGGTTTCCAAAGGCCTCCATGTTCAGGTTCCATACATTTACCTTCAAATATCTGAATTTTAAATACATTTCTTATTTCTTATTTTAATGTTTTATATTGTATTTTAATTATATGACTGTAGGCTACCTAGAGTCACCTTGGTGTGATAGGCGGCATAGAGTTTTAATAATAATATTTTTTTAATGTTCAACAGTCTTTGTGCAAATGCTGCCTGATTGACATTTGTATCGGGCAGATGTTTGGCTGAAGAACAGGTACCCCTCACTGAAAGATGAAGACCTGGGGACTAGAAGTTGTATGGAAACCAGGTGGCTTTATTAGAGTGGAAGCAGAGGTGTCCGCAAGATCAGAGGGATTTAACAAAATGATAAAAACAGTCCATGCTGTTCTGAAACAAGCTGTACCCCTTTGATTTGTGCATTGTGTGATATCACGACACATAAACAAAAGGGGTGGAGTTTGGAGGGGGAGTTTGTTTTCATCTTCAAAATTAGCAAGTGGGTAGACTCTTGGTGCATGGTGAAGACATGGGCTGCTCTTCACCATAACACTGCCATCTTGCTGATTTCAACACATGCTTATAGTGTCATCAGCTAAGGAACTTCTGCCTTAATGTGCCTCAGATGGACTTTGATCCCAGACATGGGTGTCTGCAGCAGATTCCACAATGTCAAAGTGGATGCAGCAGGACAATTGAAGCCTTGCCCCTGTTTATCATGCACTGTGCACATTGCATATGTGGAAAAGGAGATGGGGCTTCCATCTCCAGTCACTCCCACTATTTTGACATAATTGACTATTCTGCATCCACTCCATCCACTCCAACTCCAGATGCCACTGAGAGAAATGCTTCAGGAGCCACTGTGAGAAATAATAGGACTCTGCATGATTCAAAAATTGATTAGGCGGACTGCTTCAGACCTTGTGAAAATGAGCACAGCACCCTTCTGTTATTCATCAAAATAGACTTGGGTGTTGTTTTTTAAATTTATTTTAGGCTTCCATATAAATCTGGAAAAAAAATTGCTGCTGTTTAAGGATTTTTTTAGTGGCTCAATTTCTTAGGGCCATCTTTTTTTCAAGTTCAGGCAGGGTCTGAAAATGATGTGGCTATTTTAATTAGCAGAGAGGTTCAATGCTTACCCAGAGTTCAAAGCATTGTTTTGGAATCATTTTGAAGTCCTAAATGTGCTGAACTGCATAGTTTTTAATATAGTCCAAATATATTTATATGGTGACCAATAAAAATCTGAATCTATTTTTTTAGGCGATTTTGATGCATTTGTACTTAATCTTAGTAATATAAGCAATCCTAAAAAAATTATCTGAGTACTTTATATCCTGATCCAGATTAAACATCAGTTTGCCTTTCCTGGGTTTGTAATTCAAAGGTGAAATCTAGATAGTAAAGAATTCCTCTCATATGACATTGGTGGATTGATCATCAGCATCAGTGAATTGCAAATCCTAGCCGCTTCTCTATTCAGAGCATGATTCCCTCTCTCCCTATACACAAACGTGGCATCAGGCATTCCACCCACCCCCTCAAAAACAAATGCTGAAGGACAATGATCTGGGAGAGACCCAATTTCTTTATTTAATTTTCTGTGCAGATAAATTTTCTTCGGGGACAAAATCCACATCGACTGTAAGCTATGGAAGCCAATCTAGTGAAAGGTGAACATTCTTGGATTTGCAAGTATCTGCTCTTTGGGTTTTATTGTAATAAGGGCAAAGCATGGACATGCTATTGGGTGGAATAGACATTGGGCCTTTTCCCCACTGCTGACCTGTGGAAAATTTGTACCACTGTGAAATGTGCTGTCCCCATTTCCTATTATGCCATATTCTTCCCTTTTCTTGCACTGTTTCCAGTCATTGCAGTACTCTTGACTTCCCACCAAGGTGAGCCTTACAGATTTTGCACATCTTAAAGCTGCCCTCGGATGGTGTTAAAGCAGCAGTCCCCAACCTTTATGGGTTGGTGGCCTGGCGGGGGTGGGTGGGTAGAGGGGAATCAGCCTGCTGCTTGGGCAAGTTGAGCTTCTCATATCCACGCCGGCCTGCCATTCAGGCAAGTTGAGCTGTGTGTGTGCACCAGCCAGCCACTCATGTGGCCTGGTTCCAAACATGCCATGTCCAGGTAGTAGGCCGCAGCCTGGGAGTTGGGGACCCCTGTGTTAAAGAAGGGAAACATTGCTTCAACATTAGTACAGCTAAGAAGCCTTAAGCCTGTCTCACTCTGAAGCAGGGGACAAAATAGTTGCAGTGTTACGGATATATGGCAGAAAAATATTATTAGAAGGCAGAAATATGTGCCAAGATAAAACTAAACTAATAACACAGGTGTGGTAACGTCATATGCATTGCCACTGTTTCATACTTGTTTCCCTCTAAGTTCACAAAGTTTGTATGATGACATCTTTGTGTCCATGTTGTCATTTGGTGTCTGCTTTTACTCCCTGAAAATGTTATGAAGAAATGTTTGTGCTACGGTCATGGCCAGTGGGAAAAGGCTCATTGGTTTGGTTTGTTTAAACAGGGTTTGTTAACTAAACTATATTTGGCTGTAGCTATATCTCACATCACATTAAGTCATAATGTAGGAATTGAGTTTAGCACAAGTTTTTTTTAATTGGGAAAAACATAAATGGGAAGCTAGCATAGAGTAGAATAGAATAGAATAGAATAGAATAGAATAGAATAGAATAGAATAGAATAGAATTCTTTATTGGTCAAGTGTGATTGGACACACAAGGAATTTGTTTTGGTGCTATAGAATATATGGTATAGAATATAGCTCCGCCCCCAAGCATAATCTTTATTTTCAAGAATGCCTCTGGGCCCTAAAGATAAAGGTAAAGGTTCCCCTCGCACATATATGCTAGTCATTCCCGACTCTAGGGGGTGGTGCTCATCTCCGTTTCTAAGCTGAAGAGCCAGCGCTGTCCAGAGACGTCTCTGTGGTCATGTGGCCAGCATGACTAAATACCAAAGGTGCATGGAACGCTGTTGCCTTCCCATCAAGATAGTCCCTATTTTTCTACTTGCATTTTTACATGCTTTCAAACTGCTAGGTTGGCAGAAGCTGGGGCAAGTAACGGGAGCTCACTTCGTTAACGCAGCGCTAGGGATTCGAACCGCCGAACTGCTGATCTTTCTGATCAATAAGCTCAGCGTCTTAGCCACTGTGTCCTCAAAACTCTGGGCCCTACATAGGAATAAATAATAACAGAAAACAAAAATGGTAGGAACTGCAGCCTATTTAAGTGTAGTTTCAGCCTTTGAATAAGTGGTCATTGTTTTGTTTTGTTTTGTTTTACTATGCATATCTTCCCTGGCTGTTGTGTTTTGAGAGAGCCCATGTCATGGTTTTAAAATTTCAGATATGCCTAGTGATCCAAATTGTGTGTACAATATGTAGTGGACCTGATGTAGCATACTATATGAATCCAGCTATTGTATTGCATCCATTTTGGAGAACCCAATGAGTCATCCTTTGCAACTGTGTTCTTTTGAAATCTATTTTCTGTCTTTTTTTGTGGGGGCAGTGTCACAAGCCAACAAACCCAGGCTTCAAAGTCTCACTCTTCACCTTCTTCAGTCCATCGACAAGTGGAAAAGCGAAGAGAGCTGGTGAGATCTCAGACTCTTCCCCGGACCTCAGAGACTCAGTCTAGGAGAGCACTCTTTGAGAAGTTTGAGCAGGATACTGGAAAGTAAGTTGCTCCCTTGGGTCCAGTTCAACTTTTAGAGAGTTAGTTCAGAGAAGACCTTCAGGGGATCTAAAAACAGCTGCCTTAAATCAGGTCACAGTTTCTAGCCTAATGGTTTGCACTTGTTTGTCTGCAGGACAAGGCTATGCCAGAAGCTCTGTTCTGGTAAAAACACAACAACTCTAAGAAAAATGTAAAATTGGCTAATCCTTAGCATAGTATAGTTCCTACTTTAGTTTCAACAGTTTACTTAGGCAGCATCTTTAGTTAACGCAAAACAGCACAAATCATTGCCATGTTCTCCAACCAGCGTGCAGGAAAAAAAAGGTCTTAAAAACATTTGTTTTACTTATGCTAAAGTAAAATGTGGAGGAATTGAATGGGAGAGAAGGGATTTGAATGGGAAGGTAAAGGCTAACACTCCCTCAGTTTTCTGATGTTCATCGCATACACAGGATAATGATATTCAAATGTGACCATTCCTCTGATGAAATAAGAACATTCTGGGCAGAGGAGCTGGTTTTTCCATTTAAAGTACTACCCCTCTAGATGACAGCATTGATTCCTTCTCTTTGTGTCCCTCATTTGTCCAGGGGGAAAAGTGTAGGCCGGACCAAACTCAAAAGATCCCAGAGTTTTGCAGTTGCCAGTGCCAGCAGCATCAAGCAAATCCTCTTGGAGTGGTGTCGGTCCAAAACTATTGGCTACAAGGTAGGTAAGGAATTCTGTAAACTGCATCCCTTCCCCACTTCTTCACTGTTTCACTTTGTGAACCCATATGAAGTAGTACAACTTCTGGTTCCCCTCAGATACTTAAATTCAGGCTTCTCTACCCCAACTCTGTCAGATTCTTATCCTGAATTACAGTACTTGCATTCCCTTTCTTGTGCCCTGCCACCCTCCCCACCCCCACCTTCCCCGTCCTCCAGCACATAGATCTGCAGAACTTCTCCTCTAGCTGGAATGATGGGATGGCTTTCTGTGCACTGGTGCACTCCTTCTTCCCTGAAGCATTTGAATACCACACATTGGACCCCACCAAGCGCAAGGAGAACTTTGAATTGGCATTCACAACAGCTGAGTAAGTATTAGTATAATTAGTATTGGTATAATTTTATTTCTATACCGCCCTTCTCCCGAAGGACTCAGGGCGGTGTACAGCCTATTTAAAAACACAAGACAAACATCAATTAAAAATTTAAAATTATTAAATAAATTCGGCTCAATTTAAAACCCCAGAAATTTAAAATACCCCAATTTAAAATTATTATGTTGATAGCCCGGCCTGGCGGAACAACAGGGTCTTCAGTGCACAGTGAAATACCCGGAGGTCGGAGATCTTATGTATTTCCGGGGTCAGTTCATTCCACAGGGCTGGGGCTCCCACAGAGAAGGCCCTCCCTCTGGGTGTCGCCAGCCGACATAACTTGGCCGATGGCACCCTGAGGAGACCCTCTCTGTGGGAGCGAACTGGCCGGTGGGAGGCTATTGGTGGCAGAAGTCGGTCTTGAAGGTACCCGGGTCCTATGCCATGGAGCGCTTTAAAGGTGGTGACCAACACCTTGAATCGCACCCGGAAGACCACTGGGAGCCAGTGCAGCTCGCACAGGAGGGGTGTCATGTGGGCACAACGAGTTGCGCCTATAACCACCCGTGCGGCCGCATTCTGGACCAGTTGGAGCCTCCGAGTGCTCTTCAAGGGGAGCCCCATGTAGAGACCATTACAATAGTCCAGCCGGGAGGTGACAAGGGCGTGAGTGACCGTGCGCAAGGCGTCCCGGTCCAGAAAGGGCTGCAACTGGTGAATCAGGCAAACCTGATAAAAGGCCCCCCTGGCCACGGCCGTCATATGCTCTTCTAAAGACAGCCGTGCATCCAGGAGGACACCCAGATTGCGAGCCCTCTCTGGGGGGGGCAAAGATTCACCCCCAATAGTCAGCGATGGCACCTGCTGACTATATCGGGACGCCGGAAGCCACAGCCACTCGGTCTTGGAAGGATTGAGTCTGAGCCTGTTCCTCCCCATCCAGACCCGCACGGCCTCCAGGCAGCGAGACATCACATCAAGGGCATCGTTGGGGTGGTCTGGCGTGGAGATGTACAGCTGAGTATCATCAGCGTACAGATGACACTTCACCCCAAAACCACGCAAACCAAGCAAGTAGGATGCTATGGTTATAAGTTGCCTGCTCTAAATTTATAGTAGTTGCACAGAGCTGTTAACTTCCCTTGGTTAAGAAGGCTACCCTTTTAAACCCATGTCTGATAATGAAAAACATGAGGACATTAATTTTGAGGAAAGTTTTGTAAGAGGGTGGGTTGGTACTTACCGCCTTGGATGATAGTTTTCCTCCATTTTTCGATTTCCAATTTTTCCAAATTGCCTTCCTTCCTAAATCTGATGCTTTGCCTCCCTTTGCAGAAAAATGGCCAACTGTGACCGCTTGATTGAAGTGGAGGACATGATGCTGATGGGCCGCAAACCAGACCCCATGTGTGTCTTCACATACGTGCAGTCTCTCTACAACCACCTTCGGCGCTTTGAATGAATCCAGGAAGGCCATGACTCTTAGAATGGGACTGCTCCACAGCTGCTTTTGTGCTAATGTTTGGTGCTGCTACACAGCTGCTTGCATCCCTGCAGAGGGAAGTCCCAGGCCGCTGGACACAGCCACAAGCCAAAGAGAAAGAAAAGATAAAAACAGTCAAGGTTCCAGGGCAGCTAGAGCTGTTGCTGAAAAAAACGATAGAAGGCCAGCAGTTCCTTCCTTGTTCTCTCTAGGCAGCTGTGAATAGAGATTCTTGTTCCAAGAATTTCCTTTTAACTATATGTGCAAGCTGATTTGACCAAATTGACCTAGAGGGATAATTCAAGCATGATCTCCTCTTCTGCTCCCTGTTTTTCTTCCATAGATGTCTCTCAAAAGTATATAATGCTATGTCTATCATTTGTGGGCAGCTATGCTATCAGTTGCTTCATATGATATCCCCCTTCTTTTCCCCCAATTCCTTATGCTCTGGAATTCCTGGGATAGATTAATGCATAGAGACAGATTCCAGTGTGGATAGCTTGAAGGCTAATGTGCAAATTCTCCTGATCACAGGGGCTTCTTGCATACTTTTAGAACTCAGCTTGTTTCCAAAGGCTGCAGTATTGAAACCTGTTTTCCTTCAAACCAAAAGACTTGCTTGTACATTTTTTTAAAAAAAAAATGCTCTTGCAATAATGCAGTATATTAACCTGCATGACCATAACTGAAACTTCACCACAATTTGCTTTAGCATTACTTTCCCCCAATATCTGTTAATCTGTCACCTGAAAGCTGCATGTTGAATCTTGCTTTGGACCCACCTGAAACTGAGCTCAGGGAAAAAATGAGGACTCAGTCAGGCGATAGTATCTGATACTGAAGCAGGTATTGGCAACCATGTGAGGGTTATCAGATTTAGCATTTGGAGGGGGGGAGGGGGAGAGGTTTAGGGAAAAGAAAGTCTACATGAAAAGTGCAGAAAAAGGCAACAAAAAAGGAACAAATGAGGCAGAAAAGCCACAAAGAAAGGTGCAGTGAGGCAATCTGGCTGGAGGAGAACATATATATTATTTTTCCTACTTGTGGGGAGGAGTTTATTTTTTAAAAAAACTATTAAACCTGTTATAGGTGTACATTAGTAGGAGCAGGCTCTGGGGGAGGCAGAAATGAGAGCTGTGGGATGCATAACCCTGAGCCCTGAGGTTGCTCACTCCTGCAACAGAGCAAGAATACTTACCCTAAATAGCTACGGTGATGCACAAGGACTGCGTGGAGAGACTCTTATGGTCAGATTGTTGAAATTCTGCATAATACTTTCATACCTTAGTCTTCTGGTCTTGAAGGAATGAGGAGAATTTGCTCTTTATGATATACATCAAATTCCCAGGAGGTGATTGCCAGAAAGGAGACTGATTACAGCAAGAGCACCACTGAGTCCAAAATGTTTGTCCAAAATATTTGAAGTAACTGGTGCCAGATACATCAGTCCTAATGCATGCTAACTGAGAATTCTGGATGGTACCAGATTGGTAAGAGTCCTCTTAGAACCGTGATGATGAACCTATGTGGCACGCGAAGCCGTATCTGGGCATGCGAGCATTGCCCTAGCTCAGCTCCAGCGTGCATGCGCGCACCGGCCAGCTGATTTTCAGGCCTTCCAGGCCCACAGAAGTTCAGAAACGGGCTGTTTCTGGCCTCCGGAGGGCCTTTGGGGGGTGGGGAAGGCCGTTTTTGCCCTCCCCAGGCTCCAAGAAAGGCAAAAAAGTTAGCCATCACTGTCCTAGAAGCATTTGCTCTGGTATGTGGGAGAATTATGCTCAGTAAAATAAGGAAGAGGCTCCAGATCTTCCAAAACTATCGTGGCTAAAATGGAGTCATGGTTCAGATTAGCTGGGAAAAGTGTTTACATCCACCCATAAGAAATTACGCTGCACTGAGACCACACCATTAGAGAAATAGCCAGCCAGCTAAGGTGCAGCACGCTTCTAATCTCAGTTTGGGGATTTGCTGTTCACATCTTGAAGCTATTTTGAAAACGGTCTCAAGTATTACACAAGATTTTGCATGAAAGCAAGTTGCCTAGTATCAGCATAAGCTGCTTTATATGACTGACCCCCGCTGGCCACTCGTTAAGAGTTAAATACTTAGTTCTGTACTCCGGGGAAATTAACTTTGTCTCAAACATCCTTTGGATTTGGGCTCAAACTCCTCTAAACCCATCATTGGCTAGACTAAGCTATTTACACAATATTTTAATTTTCTCTTGATCCAGTTAACTGTGTTGTATGATTAGGGACAGTGTAACCTGAATCCTAGGGTCATGCAGTTTTCTAAACATGAAATCCAGATTAACAAAATCCAATTGCTGGGTTCACATAGCAGCTTTTGCATGAAGAAACCAAATTATGGTTAGGTTGGTGGCCTGATTTACACAAAATGTTAAGATAAGGGCAGGGATCCCAGCACATTTAATTTAGCTTCATCTACCATGTATGTCCAATCATGTATGCTTGTGTATGTTTGGAGTAGGATGTATGTCATAAGTCATGACTTTATTCAAATGAAGAAAATAATATAAATTGGACATGACTGACAGATTATGGAATTTGTACCATTTGTATAATGTCACTGGCTCATGTCCCATCATCCTGATTTTTGCAGACATCTATATAATCACAGCTATTTGGCTATCCTGAAGCAGCAGGAATGTGTGTTTTGGGGTGAATTAGTGATTTTTAGCTGTCTGGCCCACACAACTCTGCCACTACAGACCTCCATCAACTTCTTGCCAAGGTGTTTCCCTGCACAGTCAATAGCTTGCTCAGAGCGGTTTCCTGCCTTGGGGCTGTACAGATGGCCACTATAAAACAAATAAAATAAAGGCAGCTTTGTGTTTGGTCCTTATTTTATTCTTAGGAGCAAAATACATGAAATTATAAACTATAACTCATAAGATGACAAATGAGTGGAGTCAGATACTATAAGCATTAGAACAGCTGATCCTTCCTGAAAGGGTGTGTGAACGATGATTTATTAAATTTTATGTGGCCACCCATTCCAGTGGACTCCCAAAAGTGAGAGATGCATGAAGAACAGTCTTACAGGTATTTTAGCTGGATTCATATTAGTGGTCCACGGGATTTAAAATTATGAATTTAGGGGTCCCTGAGGTCCGAAGGGTTGGTGACCCCTGTTGTAGGTACTAGGCTTCCTCACACCAAATGTAGCTTATATGATCTTTCCAGAAATAACAGTTTGGCCGGAGAAGGGGCAGCTCCTTATTCCTTATGCTAAGGATACTTGTTGCTATTATTACAATATTTAGGAAGAAGAAAATAGCAAACCATTTCTGAAAACACTTGGGAAAGCTACATGGATTTATTTATTCAAGTGCTTGTCAAAACTCTAAAGCCTCCTTAAAAGGAAAGTGAGGCAATATAAATATATAAAACAATGAAAAATCCATTCTGACAGCTTTATGTGTGGATGGAATCCTGTCGTTAAGGGATGGATGAGCCTTTTATGAGGGTTTTGCTGGATGGGAATGAGTGGTAATGAGTTTCAGCCCTTCCTAGATTTTCCAGGGATGGGAGGAATAGAAGTTATTGAATTAATTACTGTTAATTATGTAATTAATTACATAATGCTGAGTTTTAAAAGCACAGGAAAGAATCTACCAATCGTTCATACCACACTATCCCTGATTGGAAAAGCCACCATCAATCAACCTGCGTTTTTCATTGTCTGTTTCGCTGATAGAATCACTAATCGACCAATCACATGTTGGCCAAGTGTGGCGCGAGTTCCACCCTTGATAACTTCTGTTTCAAACTACCCTGCAAACTCCGCAACCAGGCTCATTGTGAACGCTGTCAGTCACCTGTTTGTGTGAAACTTAACCAAGTCACTTAAAGACAAGCAATTACATTCACACAATATGCCAAACCTGGTGATGGTTCACTTGATCTTGTCCTACAAACTAGACACTTTGATCAGTACAGGATTCATTTTAAGTGTACAAATATAAAATGTGGATTAATCTAGTAACCAAATGAAGCGAAGTTTGTCGAAGTAAGTAAATATTTTGGGGGATATAATCTCTGAAAGAGAAGAGGCCCTAATATTCCTGACATAAGAACGAGGAGAGGCCAAGATAAAAATCACGCTTCAAAACTAAGGAAAATTCTAATCTCCGGAAGTGTCCCTCTTTTTCGGGCTGCCGCAAAGATCCGGAGTATGGCAGTGAAGAGTTTCTGATTCTCTTCGCTGGAAATCTATTGGCCGTCCGGATTTTTGCAGCCAGATGTGGCAGCCCTCCTCTGCAAACCTGCTCGTCCTTCCCCATCAAAGGCGAGATCAGAGAAAAGGATCTTTCGGCGCTGCAGGGTTTGCGCCCGCCGCCACTTCATCTGCACATCCATAGCGAATCAACCCACCCGGGGCTAAACCTTCGATCCGTTCGTGTTAAAATTGCTGCCGACGGGACCAAGGATTTTCTTATAAGGATTTTAAACGTATTCAAACATCTTGATCTGGCGCTTCTATTGATTGATTCATTCATTCATTCCTTTCTCTTTTACGGGTTCACCAAGAGCAGCAGCCAATCACGGCCCCGTTCTACAGCGCCTGCCTCGTTGCCATAGGAGGCGTCGCCCCCCCATTCCCATGGAAACAGGTTTTGTTGTGCCTGGTTTTCCGCTTTCCTACGCCCCAATTCGAACTCGCGAACGGAGGAGCTGCCGTGGAGAGCACCGCCAAAGGGTGGGTAGCCAGGGTTGCATGGGACCGCCAGCTCTGTTAATAATAGGGATAATGGATATAACTTAAGATCCCCGTGTCCTTATTGCACGTAAGATTCGGAGCAGTTCCCTTCCTTTCTTGGGGATTTTGCAAGAAGCTGCTACAGTACTGAACTTGGGGAAAATGCACTGGAAATTTCCCAGTTCTTTAATTTCTGGCTTAAGGCAGTGGTCCCCGGTCCTTCCTGGCTTATTTCAGTAACAGTAACAGAGTTGGAAGGGACCTTGGAGGTCATCTAGTCCAACCCCCTGCTCACGCAGGAGACCTGTACTAGGGATTCGAACTGCTGAACTTTCTGATCGACAAACTCACTGTCTTAGCCACTGAGCCACCTAGTCAGGCAAGGGGATAGTTTCTCCCTCTTCAATCTGATGCAAGGCTTTTACCTCTGACTGGATACATTTTTTTCAATGAATTACTCAAGGTTGCAAACATACCTAATATTCCTTCCTCCTCCTGTTTTCCCCACAACAACAACCCTGTGAGGTGGATTGGGCTGAGAAAGTGATTAGCCCAAGTACCCAGCCAGCCTTCATGCCTAAGGTAGGACTAGAATTCATGGCTTCCCAGTTTTTCTCCTGGCACCATAACCACTCCACAGTTTTTTTTAAAAAAAAGTATTTGAAATGTTTTTTTAAAATATTCATTTTCTTTTCATGCATGTTTGGTCTTCTTAATATTTCCTATAACTTTCCAGTGAAGCTGGTTAAAAAAAACTGAGCAAAAATGTAGCATTCAAGGAATTTTGGATCTGAGGTGGCCACTGACTTTTCTGGATGAATCCATAGAAAGAGCTATTTACCTATATGACGTCATAAGGGCTTTGATTTTTTCTAAGTCCTGATCCTTGGAGGATGTCCTCCTGAGCAGAAAGAAGCACGAATGGAATACATGAAATGTTCAAAGGCTGGTTTGGCATTTTAAATAAATCATATTGGCTCAGTGTGTGAGGAATCCTGCCTCCTAGCTATGCTAGTGACAATCAATTGTGATATTTTCCTCAGCTACTGTGTATTTTAAGTTTGGTATTTGTGATTGGGATTGCTTTTAATGCATTTTAAGACTGTTCACCACTCAGTCGTTTATTGAGATGGACAGCTGTAGTAATGGAATAAATAGATACACAGACATGGAGAATTGTGAAGATATACATTGCACTGTAATAATTTTTGAAATATAAGTATAGTCTTATTCCTTCAAGCTGAAGGAGAAGTTTTTTAGGGAATGCGTCTTTTTAAAAACCAACTTCTGTTTATTCTCCCTGCTGTTTACCCTTTTGTTGTTGTTCTTTTCCAATTTTATTTCTAAGTGTTACTTAACTCCTGTTTCCTTCTTAGAATCTTCTGGATGCGATAATGGCCAAGTTGATCCAAGCACCCCCTAAGTTTCTGCCCCCCGAATGGCACATTGCTAACAAGGTCCAATACAGTAGTGCTGAGGCCCAGCGGTCTCGTTCGGAACGCTTGGTGGATGAGAGCCAGCGGCTGGTAGATGAAATCGAGAGAACCACTCAGAAGACCCAGAGTGATGTCAACAAGAGAATAGGTGATGGGTGCTTTTAATGCATTTATATGGACATACGTGTACAAGAGTCTGAAAGCCTCGGTGGTGCAGCGGACTAAGTGCTGTTAAGTGCTAGCACTTAGCTGCCAGCTGCCTGTAATTAGTGCGAGTTCAAATCTCACCAGGCTCAAAGTTGACTCAGCCTTCCATCCTTTCGAGGTAGGTAAATTGAAGACCCGGATTGTGGGGGCAATAAGCCAGCTTTGTATAGAACAACACTGCTTGGGGGGGGGGCGAAAGCCCTAATAAGCAGGTATATACAAAAAAGTATGCAGGCTATTGCTATAATGCATTTTTTTTTAAAAAAATTGATTTATATGCCGCCCTTCTCTGGAGACTCAGGGCGGCTTACAATGCGTTAAGCAGTAGCCTTCATACTTTTGTATATTTATACAAAGTCAGCTTATTGCCCCATTGTAAACTGCCCTGAGTCTACGGAGAAGGGCGGCATATAAATTGGACTAATAAATAATAAATAAATAAAGCGGGGTGGGGCGGGCTGAGTTTGCATAAGATGCTTGAACCAGGTCAATTAAAGATCAAGTTGCTGCCTTTGTACAACAACATGGAAAGCTTTGTTTTAGGTTTCCTTATTGCCTTTTGGGGGGGTTAGTATCTTGTCCCCATTTTGTTCGTTTGTGGTTGTAATATACATACCCAGAAAACACAGGTGGTCCTCAACTTACAGCAATAATTGGGACCAGAATTTCCATTCTGGTAAGGCAGTTGTTATACGAATTGTGCCTGATTTTATGACCTTTTGTGCCATAGTGAATCACTAAAGTTGTTAAGTGAATCAGGCAGTCATTAAGTGAACATGGTGTCCCCACTGACTTTGCTTGTCAGAAGTCAGGTACTAAGAAGGTTTGCAAATGGCAATCACATGGGCCTCGAGATGCTGCAACCATCGTAAATACTTACCAGATGCCAAGTGCCCATATTTTGATTGCTTGTCTGGGGATGCTGCTATGGCTGTAAGTGTGAGGACTATTCGTAAATTCAGTTCAAAGGATAAGGGATTGCTGGGTAAGGACTGCAAGAGAAGCGACAATGATGTTTTCATGTAGAGGAATGGATGGACCAAAAAAGAATCCTATTTGAGAGAGGTTGAGGGGCAAAATAGATATGTTAAGCATTAAAAAACAAAATGGGGAAATTGGTTGATACTGGAAGTTTTCAAAGGGCTTAAATGGGCATGATAAATTTCTGTAAGACAAGGTCTCAGTTTTGCCCCTGAACCATCCAACCTCACCCCAAAACAGAAAGTCTGGAAGAAGAGTAATTGGTGCTTATTGTGCGACATCCTTAGGAGATGATTAAGCTACAAGGTTCTTGTTTCCGTTTGTTTTATGGTTCTGTTTTAATGTTACTGGTTTTCCTGCTGTCGTGGGCTACCCAGAATGGTTTCAGATGGGTGACCGTAGAAATCTTTTAAACAAATAATTAAAAAGATCTGTTCTATGCTAGAATGGTTGTGGGATCCAGGGACCCTTAAAAGGAGTCTTGGAGGCTGCATGCTGGTTGGGATTGTCCTGAAGGGATCTGTGGTGTGTGCTTGTCACAATTAATTGATTGATTGATTGATTGATTTTATTTTATTTTATTTATTAATTAATTAATTTTAGGAAATTTATATTGCCATCTATTCACACATAGCAACTCAAGTCGACTTACAAGAATATAAAAACCTCATATATAAAACAATAAAACTAATAAAAGAGTAAATCATATAAAAAAATAATAAAATGAATTAATAAAATAATATAATAAAATATGTAATAATTTATATTTGTTTCTTCCCACTATTTCCAACATTTAAGAGCCTCAGAAGGCATGGGTAGTTTTCCCATGACAACAACGTAATGATAACTTTTTTTGTCCCTGGACAGAAAGGGGTTGGAGGTTGTTTAAACTGGGGAAAAATGTGTTAACATGCCCATTTGACAGTGTCAATTTTTAAAAAGACAACTATATTATTCTGCTGGAGGGTACCATTTGGTCAACACATTTTAGCAACACAATGTTGGGCTGTAAAAATGGGCTTGGGGGGAGTTCATGCAGGACTCTGGTTGTCCATCAATCTTCTAAACCAATGGGAAGTGTCAGCGTTCCAGAAAGTCCCCAACTCCAAGTAAAAACTCCGAGGCAGGCATTTCTCATAGTTCCATTTTATTCAAGTAGGCATACTGGCACATCTGGGAAAACCCAAATCTGCGGGTTCCAGGTTTCCCCTTAGTAAATCAAAACCCTAAATCCAGCCCCTTCACCCATCACGCTGCCAGGAAGCTCTTCAATATTGAACTGTGAGATGAATGTGCAAATATTTATTTATTGAAGGAAATTTATATTGCCGCCTATTTGCACATGGTGACTTAAGGCAGCTTACAAGAATATAAAAACCTCATATGTAAAACAATAAAACTTATAAAAGAGAATAATCATATAATAAATTAATAAAATAAAATAATAAAATAACCCCCCAACCCTTGCAATGTATGATGATTAACATGTCCACCCAAGATGCTTAATCAGGAAAGATAAAGATGTAACAGCTGCATTCGTAAAATATACAATTTATAGTTTTAGAGTTTTGGGTCTCATCGTGCCATGCAAACCCAGGTTTTTTGGTTACTTTATGGTTCAGTATATTGCATAACCAGGGATGAAATGCAGGGGTGGGTTCTACTTACCTTTACTACTGGTTTGCAACAGGAGTACGTGCGTGCTTCTGCGTATGCACAGAAGCTTCTGCGCATGTGCAGATTGCCAAATATGACATCAGGTCGGTTGGGCGGAGCCTCCCACCGCTTTTACTACCGGTTCTCAAGAACCGGAGAGAACCAGGAGCAACCCACCGCTGGTGAAATGCACTTACCTTCACTACCAGATTGCAATGTGAGCGCAGTTGCATTCTGCGCATGCATAGAGGGTCAAAAACAGGACGTGATGACATCCGGGTGGGTGGGCAGAGCCTCCCGCCACTGGCACTACCGGATTGCGCGATCCGGACAGATCCAGCTGAATTTCACTGTGCGCAACCCCAGAAAATGGGTTAATTCAATATTATGTGAACTCGGCCCTTGAATTGATGGCATCATTCACTTGAGCTTCATCCACATGGCCTCTTATGGGTGGTCATCAGATTCTCCTTTTGGATGAAGCCCTGAGATCTAGCTGCTGCTGGACTTGGATGGTGCTTCCCTCTACCTTGGGGTGATTGAGTATTCTCACTTCTGCAGAACAGAGAATTGAAGAGATCAAATTCTGGAGGCAGCAGTTGGATGACAAGCTTGACCAGATTGTGAAGGAGACTGAAGTGCTTGTGTCATTCAAAACAAGGCTGGAAAAGGCTCTGGAGGGCTGCAAAGAACCCCTTTTCACCGCTCAGGAGTGTCTCTTAAACCGGTGAGAGGATTATTTCTTTTTTGGATTTGAGAGGCCACTTCAGGTTCTACTTGCTGGAGGCAGGCGGGATAAACTTGTCTGGATTAAGAAACTGTGTAATGTCATCATGACTGGTTAGCTGGGAGAAAAGGTCTTGAGTCACTCATAGTTGCTGGCAAGAAAAAATGTTATGATAAATAACTGGAGACGTGGGACTATTTAGTCTAGAAAAGAGAATGGTGATCTTCAAGTTTCTGAAGGGCTGTCACGTACAAAAAGGAGAAGGCTTGTTTGGCATTGTTCCTTGTGACAGGAAAAGAAACAATAGGTTTAAATTAACTTCCTGAACTCTGACTTATTAACCAATGGAGGTGGCTGCCATATGAAGTGGAAAGTTCTCTTTTGCATCAGAGACTGGCATGGTCATCTGTTAGAGATGCTTTAGTACAAGGGTGTCAAACTCAAGGCCTACGGGTCGAATCCAGCCAGCGGGGTGCTTAGATCTGGCCCTCAGGGCAACCCTGGAAACAACAAAGGACTGGCTCTGTCAGTGAAAACGGAGCTCGGGAGGGCCGTACTCAGCCTCCCAAGCTCTGTTTTCACTGGCAGAGGGTTGTAGGAGGCCGTCGCAATCAAAAACTTTTTCGCTGGCAGAGGATTGCAGGAGGCTGTCGTAGCCGAAATGGAGCTTGGGAGCCCATTTTCACTGGCAGAGCGCTCGGGCCACCACAGGTGGCCTTGACACGTGTGATGTCGAGCTGGCCATGCCCACCCTGGCCACACCCCCACCCAGGGGAGAAATCCAGCTGGTTCTGACAGGTTCTGGAGAACCGGTAGCGGAAATTTTGAGTAGTTCGGAGAACCGGCAAATACCACCTCTGGCCGGCCCCAGAGTGGGATGGGAATGGGGATTTTGCAGTATCCTTCCCCTGGAGTGGGGTGGGAATGAGGATTTTGCAGTATCCTTCCCCTGCCACGCCCACCAAGCCACACCACACCCACCAAGCCATGCCCACAGAACCGGTAGTTAAAAAAAAATTGAATTTCACCACTGCCCCCACCCCAAGGTCAAACACAACCCTGATGGGGCCCCCAATGAAATCCAGTTTGACACCGCTGCTGTAGTAGATCCTGCAGTAGGGTTTAAACGCAGTGACCTCTAAGGTCACTTCTGAGTCTGATTCTATTGATAAATGACACAGGTAGTCCTTGACTTAACAATAATTCATTTATTGTAAGTTACAAAGTTCAAAGTTACAATGGCACTGAAAAAAAGTGACTTGTGACCATTTTCCAAATTTGCAACCGTTGCAGCATCCCCATGGTCACGTGATCAAAATTTGGACACTTGGCAACTGGCATGTATTTATGACGGTTGCAAGTCACCTTTTGGGACTTTCTGACAAGCATAGTCAATGCGGAAGCCAGGTTTCCTTAACAATTGTATTACTAAATTAACACCTGCAGGGATTCACTTTACAAGTGTGGCAAGAAAGGTCGTAAAATGGGGCAAAATTCACTTAAAAACTGTCTTGCTTAGGAACAGAAATTTGGAGTTCAACCATGGCCATAAGTCAAGGACTACCTGTAGTATATTTGAATTGGACATCAAATAAGGTTTCCTAATGTCTCTTGGCAATGGAACAGACTGCCTCAGGAGATGCTGGACTTCTACACTGGACATGTTTAAACAAAGGCTAGCTCGCCATCTGTGGGGAAACTGAAGTAGTGGATTTCTGCACTGAGCAGCGAGGTGAAGGAAATGATCTCCGAGTTACCTTCTATGCTGTGATGGTTTAACAGCTACCATATTTTTCGGAGTATAAGACGCATCAAAGTATAAGACGCAGCTTAATTTTGGGGGAGGAAAATAGGGGAAAAATACCTGCCTACCAGGTATTCATCTGACTAGTGTCCTTAGTCTGGTCAGCTTCAGCACATTAGTTTGCTGGTTTTTATCCCCTGTTTGGGGATAAAAAAACAGCTTCTAAAGCACAGCTGATCTTTGGAGAGAGAAGCAATGAGAAAAGCAGGCAAACCACTGAGGTTGCTTCACTCGCTAGCGCCTTGTTAGGGCTGAAAAAAAGCTTCACAACTGAGAGTTGGAGGGAGCAGGCAAAGCACGGAGATCACTTCACTCGCTAGCACCTCCTTAGGGCTGAAAAAAAGCTTTGAAAAAGCTACATTCGGTGTATAGGATGCACCCAAATTTTCAGCCTCTTTTAGGAGGGAAAAAAGTGCATCTTATACTCTGAAAAATAAGTAGTGGTAAGTAGTGGAACATCTGCGTTGCATGGAGAAGATCTTAGCCTAACCCCTGGTATAGCTAGGTAGGGCTGGGAAAGCCCTTTCTAAATATTAAAGAGCTGTTGTAACCAATAGATGAGTATTAAGCCAGACGGTTTGATTTAAGGCCTATGCCAGAGTAGTGTGTTTTAATCCATATATTATGTTTGCACAACACAACTGGCTACTTGTAGGTTTGCACCGTACATGAAATCCTAAGCTAGCCTGATAAGTTTTTTTTTATTTTTTTTATTTGATTTATATGCCGCCCTTCTCCGGAGACTCAGGGCGGCTTACAATGCGTTAAGCAATAGCCTTCATTCTTTTGTATATTTTATACAAAGTCAGCTTATTGCCCCCACAAACTGGGTCCTCATTTCACCTACCTTAGAAAGGATGGAAGGCTGAGTCAACCTTGAGCCTTGGAGAGATTCGAACCAGCAGAAATTGCAGGCAGCTGTGTTAATAAGTTGGGTTCGTATTATACGTAGTCCTTGACTTACGACCACAACTGAGGCCAACATTTCTGTTGCTAAGCAAGACAGATGTTAAGTGAGTTGTGACCCATTTTATGACCTGTATTAGCAACTGTGGCAAGAAGTTTTGTAAAAGGGGGTGAAACTCACTTAACAACTGGCTCACTTAGCAAAAGGCATTCTGGCTCCATGGTGGTTGTAACTTGAGGATTACCTGTATTACACCTGTGAGTTGTGCTTTGCATTGATTTCCAGTAGGCTTTTGGTTACAATTCCAAGTGTTGATACTGACCTAAAAAGCTGTCTATCTTCTTGGGGGTGGAGAAGGTGGATGTTATGTTGTGGGTTCTTCCCTCAAAAGAGATTTGGGGAAAAATGATAAATTCGTGTCTTTTGGTGACTGAGTTCTTCTTTTGTAGCACCCTCCCATCAGAGATCCAGGCAGTGCATTTACTCTTACAGGAAAGTTCTGAAAAAAGCTTTTCAGAAGAGCGTTGACTGACATCTATTCATGCCTATTTATTTTAGATCTGTGGTTGATTCTTTATATAATTCTATTGGTTTTGAATTATATTGATCTTTGTGTTATGGTAACGTTCTTAAATTTTAGTTGTGCACAGCTGTGAATCCTTGGGAAGTTTATTGATATAAAAATATAATATGCACATAAATTCCTGCCCATATTACATTGTTGTTCAGATATGATAAAAGGTAGGCTATACAGTGGTTAAGATGTTTTTAATTTATTTTCTGAGTATGTGCCTGTATTTATTACTTTTATTTTTATTTATTTGTGAAATTTATTTGCCACCTATCTCACCATGGGACTACTCTAGGTAGCTTAGAACAATAAAACGGAGGGGAAAAAATCAGACATGCTTCATTATTTGACAAACATTGATATAGTCCCAGAGTCAGGATTTCCTGATGTGCCAGAGGGGGAAAAAAAAACCAAAAGAATTTTTGTTTTTGTTTCAGGGAAAGGCGGGTTGGTATTGACTTGGTCCATGATGAAGTGGAACGGGAGCTGATCAAGGAAGTTGAGGTCTTCCAAGGAGTTGTTGCTCTGCTTGAACGTACACTGGAGCAAACTGATGAGCAACTCAGGTATAGATAGGAAAAGCAAAATTCTGAGGCAGGAACGGAGGTGGGTTTCAACAGGTTTTGACCAGTTCTGGAGAACCGGTAGCAGAAATTTTGAGTGGTTTGGAGAACCAGTAAATACCACCTCTGACTGGCCCCGCCCCCATCTATTCTTTGCCTCCCGAGTCCCAGCTGATTGGGAGGGAATGGAGATTTTACAGTATCCTTCCCCTGCCACGCCCAACAAGCCACGCCCAACAAGCCATGCCATGCCCAACAAACCACACTCACAGAACCGGTAGTAAAAAAATTTGAAACCCACCATTGAGCAGGAAGGAAGAAAAGAGAAAGCTGTGTGGATTCTGAAGGTGATATGGGTAATAGGGAAGAGCCAAAAGTGAGATGCAGTATGAACTAAGGCTATTAATCCCACAGAGTCAAGGGAAGTGGGGGAAAGGCCAACATACAGTCTTTGATGTCAAGACTATAGTTCAGTGATGGCTAACTTTTTGGCCATCACATGCCAAAAGCTGGGGGAGTGCAGGATAGTTGCGTGCGCACATGCCCACACCCATAATTCTATGTGCTCTGCCCCCCCGCGCATGCGTGTGCGACCCCCCCCCATGCTCCCCCCACTTCTGGCATGTGATTGCACAGTGGGACGGTAGGCCTGTTTTTTTGCCCTGTCCAGGCTCCAGAGGCTTTCTAGGAGCCTGAGGAGGGCGAAAACAGCCTTCCCCACCCCACCGGAGGCTCTCTGGAGGCCGGAAACAGCCCGTTTGTCGACTTCCAGTGGGCCCAGAAGGGCCAAAAATCAGCTGGCCAGTGTGCGCATGCATGCTGGAGCTGAGCTAGGGCAACGCTTGCATGCCCACCAATATGACTCCGTGTGGCACCTGTAGCACGCATGCCATAGGTTTGCCATCACAGCTATAAGTTAATGGAACAGTAGCTATTCTGCATGTAAAAATTCTCAGATACAAATGAGTGAAGTTTTTACCTCATTTCCAAACAATGAAATTGGGTGGACTGTGTATTGATGATGTCAGGCACAAAGAATCAGGACCATTTGTAAGGTTGCAGCACAAACCATTTACTGAAGCCTATAGTATATACAACAATCTGGTCAAGTAACAACACAAAATCAGCACTAGGTAAGGGCCAACCGAATTCAAGGGAGGATGGACTTGGATCTTTTGTGGCAATGCAAGGACTCTAAACTGATGACACATTTAACTCCACCCTCCAGCTTTGCCTGCTTCTCTCCTACAGACACATGCAGGAGGAAGATGAGCTGGTCTATTCATTCTACAGCAAAAATTATGAGAGAGAAAAAAGGCCTCTTTGCAAATCTGGTGTTCTATTCCATGGGGTTTGTGGTATGCACAATACTGCTCTTAATATATCTGATGTGCTGTATTAAGTTCTTTGATACATGTGTAATCTGCACTTTAGGACTATATGGCTGGGCAGCTTTTTATGTATTCTCTCCTCAAAGACTGTTTTTCCTCTTTCAGGCTTAATCGCACAGCCAAATACAATCTTGAACAGGACCTGAAGGATAAATACACGGCTTTCACAATTGACAACTATTGCTCCAATCTGACCAACAACTCTACTGATATTGGATATGCCCAAAATGTTGTGAAGGTTGAGGAGAAGTAAGTGTCACATGGGGAACTGAGTAGGTGAACCAGGAAAACCTGTCATTGGGACACATTAGCTTTTCTGTAACCATGGTACATTTCAACAAAGGCCAAATTGGAAAGAAGTTGGGTAGTAGATGCTGGCAAAGATGAGAATAGCAAGAGGAAAGTTCATTTGGTTTCATGCTCCACCTATGTCTATGGAGATTCTCAGTCATTCAGGTCATGGTTGTCCCAAAGGTGCTTTTTCAAAAGGCAACTGGATTTTGTTTTTTCTTGAAAATGTTTCGCTTTTCATGCAAGAAGCTACTTCAGAACTGCTACACCAATCCATCTTTTTTCCACTCATAGAGCTATAACTAACCCTCAGTATCAGTGGTGGAATTCAAATTTTTTTGCTACCGGTTCTGTGGGCGTGGCTTGGTGGGTGTCGTGTGGCTTCGTGGGCATGGCAGGGGAAGGATACTGCAAAATCCTAATTCCCTCCCCACTCCTGGGGGAAGGATATTGCAAAATCCCCATTCCCTCCCCACTTCTGGGGGAAGGATATTGCAAAATCTCCATTCCCACTCCACTCTGGAGCCAGCCAGAGGTGGTATTTGCCGGTTCTCTGAACTGCTCAAATTTCCACTACTGGTTCTCCAGAACCTGTCAGAACCTGCTGAATAGCATCCCTGCTCAGAATACTTGGTATTAGATTATTTTCTTCGTATTTGATGACACGACTTTGTATGGTTGTGACCACCATCTTGTGACTTTAACACACACACCCTGTGGATATTCTTGATTGTGATTCTTGCCTCCAAGAGTTGAACATTTCACAGTGGTTCCCATCCTTTTCCCTGACTCTTGAATGAATACTCAGGGATTCCATGTGGGAGTCAACTTTTTTCTCTTGTTTTTGGACAGCTCGGTGAGCCCTGAACAATGGATGGATTTCTCCAACACGAATGTTGAAAAAGCTGACAAACAGCGAAACAATTCCCTGAACCTGAGAGCCTTGATTGACAGCATTCTGTCCCAGACTGCAAGTGACATGCGCAAGCAAAACAGGACAGTAAACATTGCGTTCCAGAACAGAGTGAAGGAAACCAAGGATGCCAAGAACAAATTAGAAATTCACCTGGCAAAGGTAAATATTGGAGAGGTATCCAACTTTGGGATGGGGAAAAAGAGGGAAGGAGAGAAACATATCTTTATCTTAGTCATAAGATTTTATTTGCATCTAGCCATCATGTGCTGAATGAGTTCTAACTTTTATAATACAGTGCTGGCTCTACTAAAATCTGGAGCATTGCTCATATCTGATGTCCTTTACCATGACCATAAAACTCTTGACCCAAAGAGTCATCTTACCAGGCTTCCAAACAATAATGCTAAGACTTCAGAAAGGAAGTAGCTATAGCTGTTTTCTGCCATATTAAGAATTACTATAATCCTTTAAAATTATCACAGGTGTAACATGGTAGTCCTCGATTTACTTGGGACTTACAATTGGGATCAGAATTTGCTACGTGGTGTGGTGGTTAAATGTGTCATCACATGACCATGCCCGATTTTTCAAGCTTTTTTGTTGCAAGCATTAAATGAATTGCACGGTTGTTAAGCGAATCCAACTTTGCCTCATTGACTTTGTTGAAAGCTGGCTGGGAAGGTGATCAAATGGTGATTGTGTGTGTTAAGGAATTCGCAGAGCAACCCTAGAGTAGCAAGGGTGTGCACATAAAAGCGATTGAGAGCAGTTGCAAAATAACACAGCCAACACACAGATACACTTAGCTGTGTTTACTTTCAGGAAAATAGTAATAAGGCACAGTCCAATAAACAGTCCAGGTCATACACAGATAAAGCAGTAGACAGTAAAACAATAGTCCAGGGATATTCCAATAACAAAATCTTCTTACCAGTTGTCGTAGTCATACACAATAAACAGTTGCAAACAGTAGCAAGCATAGCACAGAGCAGTAAAGAGCAGTAACAATCAGCAAAGAGCATCAAAGAGAAACAAACCCTGTTTCAAGCTCCCTCTTAAGGACATTGGCTACAGAACTAACCAATCAGGACACAGTATGATGCAATACAGCAATACAGTCTTAAAGCTATGATGCTGGTTTATATATTGCCAATCCAACAAGTTAGGTAATTATCATTTCCTAACAGTGTGACCCTGGGATACTGTAACCATCATAAATATATGATAGCTGCCAAGTACCCAAATTATTTCACATGACTGTAGCAACACTGCAGCAGTCATAAGTGTAAGGACTAGTCATAATTCACTTTTTCAACATGGTCATAACTTTGAACAGTCATTAAACAAATGATTGTAAATCAAGGACCACTTATGCTCCCCAGAAAACCTAAATAGGAGAGGAATCTTGAAAATTGTTATCCGTCGTTCACCCCCATCTTCACAGTATTATTTATTTACTGACAGCTGATGAAAAGGTACCAGTCTTTGATGGAGAGTTTTCTTATTTTAACCTTTGGCACCTCCAGAAGACTTGAGAAAAACCTTCATAGGAACTGATCAAGTAACATTCACTTGTGGATCAGGGAATTGCCTTATATTTGCGGTCCTATGTGTGCCCAAATCCTGAACCTTCTATGGAAAGAAGGCAGTTCCATAGTTGTCAGGCACCAAGCTTTGGTTTCAATTTTGTTCTGAACCACTTAAATAGCTTAGCTCAGGATTAACACGGGTTCAGAATATTGGGCAGAAAACGTGTTTCCCAACTGAGCTGCAGCAGTCCTGGCTTCCTACATGCAGAGAAACTGCTTGAAGTTGAATGAAAGGAGTTGCACTTTCTCTTTGGCAGACCACAGAAAAGGCTTCCTCAGTGGACGCCCAGTTCATCAGCCCAGCGAGTAGGTGCAAGTGTTCCTCCTCTGAACAAGCTTTAAAGCAGCGGGTCTAAACAAGCTTTAAAGCAGCATGGCTGGCTGAGGGATTCTAGGAGTTGAAGTCCACAAGTCTTCAAGTTGCCAAGTTTGGAGACCCCTGCTTTAAAGAGTTGTGAGGAAAATGGCGAGGACATGTGGGAGAGTCACAGAGTCTCTGCAGGCATTTCCTGCTCAACAACCCCTCCTTTGACCCTTTCTTCCTTAAGTCTTTAAGAACCAAAGACTGAATCCGCATAATGTGTTTGATTTGATTACTGAATTAAGGTGATTCTCCGGATTTGCAGTCCATTAAATCACAAGCTAACCAAGCAGATTGTATTCACACAGAATGCAAAGCTAAAAAAAACTAACTCCCAAACAGTTTAAAAAAAATAAAGCCCAGGCTTAAAATGAACTAAAGTCATCATGTCCTATATGGACCACCACTAGACTTTCAAGGGATCCAATTGTGTGGTATGAACACAGCTGAAATGTGTCCCTCCCTTTCTTTTGTGTGTATTTAAAGCTGATGGAGGAGATCAACTCTCAAACAAAAAATATTGATGCTCTGAGGAAAGCTATTGTGGATAAGAAGGGGCCAGCCAAGGTGGCTCAAACTCGCCTGGAGACCCGGACTCACCGTCCAAATGTAGAGCTTTGCCGAGACATGGTGCAATATCGGCTCATGAATGAAGTGCAGGAAATCAACCATAATATCCAGAGGCAAGTACAACACAGAAGCCACAGGGCTTAGTTTAACCTGGGGGTTATCCCAGGAAATTAGTACTTTCTGGGGCGAGGAAGGAGCAGGAAACAGTGTGAGATGATCCCTGTTCTGCAAAACCTGTACGTTTGGTGGATCATTGCATTTCATTTTGTGATTGATCCTTTGGTTGTTGGCCTGTCATTTGCCTTAATTCTAGACCAAGTTCTCCCTCTTCTGGTCAAAGATTTCAGTGGCTTTGGGGAGTGACTTCTCTCCAGTAGAAGTGAAGGTGGGGCTGCTTCATGGGGGAGATCGGAGCAGATGGTGGCTCTTCTATGGACAAAGAATTTAAATGGAGGGAGTCTTGATTCTAAGGTATCATCAATATGACCTACAGCAGAATTAAATTCTGGGAAAGTGCATAGCATTCTGAGTCCATGGAATGATTTTTCTCCTTAAGCTTCTAGTTCTGGCTCTAAATGGAAACTTAAGATGCACAAGCAATGCTATTAGGAATCCCAGCGATCCAAATGAGACTGATTGAGACTGAACAGGTGCTTCTAGCAGCTGAGTTGGGAGGCATTTGCCTGCCATTCTGGCAAGCAGGAATACATGACACACAAGAGCAGACTCATTACCATAAAGTTCTGTTCGTATTCCAAGCTTAGTAATGTTGGGTAAAGACTTCGCAGATGCCCATTTGTTCAATGGGCCAAACTTGGGTAATGTTAAAGTAGATATTTTCGGCTTGGCTTGTTGTGCAAACCTACACCCCCTAAGTTGTGAACATGTTCCCTGACAGATTCTGACTGTCCATCAGAGGAACTTGGTGACAACGGGGGGTGGGGGGGGGCACCTTGTGTATTGACAACAAATTGCCAGGATTCAGCTTCAAACTGTTCTATCCCATTCAGACCTAGATAGCTTCCAGACAGCTGGAAAGAATATTTCTCCCACTCCCCAGTTCAGAGTGGCAATGTACAATTGGATACATTCCCTAAAGCTTGGTTGTTCTCTAACACCAATGGCTCCACAAATTCCCTCTTCAGGAACTTCTTCTTTCAAGGTTGCCAGAAGCTCCGTCTTCTGCAATGAGGCATTAACAATTTTTTTAGATCCACATGGTCATCCCCTGCCTGTTTTCCCTACAAGTTGAGAGGACAGGGATCCAAGGTAGCAAAAGACAACTGAGACAGCAGCTATCTACTTCCTTGGATGCTGCAGACCAAAATAATCCCAGATAACAGAGCAAGGCAAATACCAAAGACTCCATCCCTTCAGAGTCAAGGTTACAGGAAATCCAGGGAGTTAGTTCCCTGCAGGAGATAATTTAGTACCAATGAGGCAGAATCTCTTGGAAGTAGAATAGAATAACAGAGTTGGAAGGGACCTTGGAGGTCTTCTAGTAATCCAACTCCCTGCTTAGGCAGGAAACCCTACACCACTTCAGACAAATGGTTATCCAACATCTTCTTAAAAACTTCCAGTGTTGGAGCATTTAATTGTTCTGTCAGGTAATTTCTTCTTAGTTCTAAGTTGCTTGTCTCCTTGATTAGTTTCCACCTACTGTTTCTTGTCCTATCTTCAGGTGCTTTGGAGAATAACTTGACTCCCTCTTCTTTGTGGCAACCCCTGAGATATTGGAAGACTGGTATCATGTCTCCCCTACTAGTCCTAGGACTAGACACTAGTCCTTCTTTTCATTAAACTAGACATACCCAGTTCCTGTAACCATTCTTCATATGTTTTAGCCTCCAATCCCCTAATCCTCTTTGTTGCTCTTCTCTGCACTCTTTCTAGAATCTCCACATCTTTTTTACATTGTGGTGACTGATGCAGTATTCCAAGTGTGGCCTTACCAAGGCATTATAAAGTGGCATTAACACTAAACCTACTTTCTTTTCTGAGGATTAGAGTTGGACACCCATCTCTTATGACATACTAAAGTGGAAGCAGGGCCAGACCAGAGCATACAATCAGAAGATTGTCATGATTTGTTTGACTGAAGCCCTGGAGAGGCTTGCCAAACTCTAGAAAGTAATGGCCTTCACCCTTTTTTCTGTTCCTTCCTTAGGCTGATGGACACATTGGCTCAGGCTGAAATAGAACTGAAAGGCCTAAACCGCCGGCAGCTCTCCCTGGAGGAAGAGATTGAAGTCAAAGCAAATACCCTTTACATTGATGAAGTGCTCTGCATGCAGATGAGAGAATCCATTTCCATCAATAATTTCTGATCCATGAGCCTGGCAGAATCTCTGCTTGGCTGGACACTAGGAACAGATCTTGAAACATTGGCTTAAACTTTCAAAAAAATCTTTTATAGAAGCCAAACATCTGCCCTGAACTTTCTACCAGATAATAAATTAGTGAAACCTGAGAGCCCAACTTCATCGTAAGCTCTTGGAGGGTCCCTGTGACACAGGACTCGGGTGAAAGTGATGGCTGGGAAAACACAAGTAGGACTTGAACTAGTGTCTTTAGTGCAGACATAGTTTAAAAACTTAAGGGGAATTGCTGATTCAACACATTGTTTTCCCAGGGTTTATAAATGTTCTGCCTTCTTCAGGCAGAAGACAGATTTAAAAAATTAACCTTTAGAATAGGCTAAAATGGGGATGAGGTGGAAGCTAGAGTCACCCACCCTAAGATCCTGACCCTGATTACTAATTGGCAGCCCCATCCAGGTCACATAATCATTCATCCATGAGACACAAGATCAAAAAGGATACCAGCGACATCCACAGGAGATGGGAGTAATCATAAATGTTGGTGACTTCAATCAAATGATCACACCTGCCATCTTGACTCTTCTCTCCCTGCTCTTCCTCCAAAACCCCTGCATAATTCTCTGCAATGTTGTGTGACTCCTAATACTTGGGCTAATTTTTAAAATGTGGATATTGCGTAGGCAATGACTCCCATAGCTTATACAGGTAGTCCTCAACTAATGACCACAAGTGGGACCAGAATTTTTGTTACAGGGCAAGGCAGTCGTTAAGTGAGTCACACCTGATTTTATGACTCTTTCCCCCCCCATGGCGATTAAGTGAATCCCTGCAGTTGTTAAGCGAATCGTGCAGTCGTTAAGCAAATTCGGCTTACCCCGCTGGCTTTGCTTGTTGGAAGCCAGCTGGGCAAGTTGCCAATGGGGACCACATGATCCTGGGATGCTGCCACTGTTGTAAATACATGCCAGTTGCCAAGTGCCTCAATTTTGATCACGTGACTGTGGTGATGCAGCAACAGTTGTAAGTGTGAGGACTGTAAGTCCGTTTTTTCAGTGCTGCTGTAACTTTGAACATTAAGCCTAAGGTTCTAAGTTGAGGACTACCTGTATATACTTTTAAGTTCTGGGTTCCAGCAAACCCATATTTTCTTCCTGGGCCAATCAAGTTTCTCTTCAAAGACCAACAGATTTTTCCTTGAGAAGAGAAATGCAGGACTTGCCCTTGATCTGCAGTGCTTCTGATGCAGCGTTTTTTGCACGTGCCATTCAGCTGCGATAGACCTCATCGATCCTTTTGCATTCCAAAGACTCTTGGTTGTAAACTCGCAAATGGTGCTTATGGCTCAGTCTTGGTTGTGAACTGTAGCTCTTTTATTCTTAAAAAGGCAGATCAGGGTATTGTATTGCAAGGCACTTTACTGAACCCGATCCTGCTGGAAACGAAAAGGGCCAGTTCAGCCGCTGAGGAAGGTCATTGCCAGCTACTTCCTTCTGGTGAGCTTTGCACGGATTCTCCTGCGATACAAAACGGGGAAAGAGAATATACTTTGGAACATGGTAGAGGACATCAGGGGACAATAGCTTTGGGGTGGGGAAGGGGAAAAATCTCAGGGGAAAGGGAATCATCTCCTCCTTGGCTCTTAGGACGACTGCCCCATGCACAAATTCATATTCTAAATGCATGCAAATTAAAGGTCTTAACCTCTGCGGTTTATATGTTTATTTAAGGCCAGTGCTTGAGGTTGGTGGTACCACTGCAACCTGCCCCATTTGTCCACTTAACAGAATAACAGAGTTGGAAGGTGTTCTAATCCAAACCCCTGCTCAAGCAGTGGTGCTTGATGGCTAGCCTTTTTGCCATCGCGTGCCAGGAGCGGGGTAGGGGGCGTTTTCGCCCTCCCCAGACTCCTAGAAAGGCTCTGGAGGCTGGGGACAGCAAAAAACGGGATTTCCAGTCTCACTGGAAGTTGGCAAACGGGCCGTTTCCGGCCTCCGGAAAGCCTCCAGGGGTGGGTGGGGAAGGCTGTTTTTGCCCTCCCCAGATTCCTAGAAAGGCCCTGGAGGCTGGGGAGAGAGAAAAACGGGCCTTCCCCACCCCCCACCCCCAAAGTCCTCCGGAGGCAGGAAACAGCCTGTTTCCCTACGCGCGCTGGAGCTGAGTTCACATGCCCACCGATACGGCTACATGTGCCACCTGTGGCTCGCGTGCCATAGGGTCGCCATCACGACCCTATACCATTCCAGACAAGTGGCTGTCCAGATTCTTCTTAAAGCCTTCTAGTAATGGAGCACTCACAACCTCTGAAGCAGTGGTGGGGTTCGGACCAGTTCGGGAAAACCAATAGTAGTGACCTGTGGGCCCCTGCAGCATTATGCGATCCTATTTATTTATTTATTTATTTGTTTGTTTGTTTGTTTATTTATTTATTTATTTATTTATTTATTGGTTCGATTTATATGCTGCCCTTTTCTGGAGACTCAGGGCGGCTTACAATGCGTTAAGCAATAGCCTTCATACTTTTGAATATACCTGCTTAGTAGGGCTTTCGCCCCCCCCCAGCGGTGTTCTTTTTTAGCCACGTTTTCTAAGCTGTGCGCAAGCGTGGAAGCAAAGCGAGAGTGTGCCCGCACACTCACATTTTCGCTGCTGGGCAAGCTGGTTGTTAAATTATGTGAAGCCCACCTCTGTTCTGGAGCTAAGGTGTTCCACTGGTTAATTGTCCTCACTGTTAGGAAGTTTCTCCTCAATTTTAGGTTGCTTTTCTCCTTGATTAATTTTATTAGCCCAGGATACCCTCCTGTCATCTGGTACAACTGGAGCCTCCAGTGGAAGTATTTTGCACGAGGAGCTTAGTTAAGTATAAATTCCATCCTGTCGCCACCACAGGACCATTTTCAAACAGGGGTCGACCATAAGTGGCCCATATGCCTCTCAAAACTGCTGAATGAAACAGATGCTCCACCTCCTCCCAGTCTTCAAGCAGCTGTTTTATTTGGAAGAAGACCAGGCTGGCTCCATAGGAGAACAAGGAGGTCTGGAGAGGCACAGAAGGAAGGCACCTGTCGAGAGGCTGGGGACGGAAGTCAATACGGCAACCCCGTACGCTTTTTTAAATTCATTATTTCTGGAGAAACAAACGAGTTGCTTCCTTAGGAGCCAAGGTGGCGCAGTGGTTAGAGTGCAGTACTGCAGGCTACTTCAGCTGACCACTAGCTACAGTTCAGCAGTTCAAATCTCACTGGCTCAAGGTTGACTCAGCCTTCCATCCTTCTGAGGTGGATAAAATGAGGAACCAGATTGTTGGAGGCAATATGCTGACTTTGTAAACCGCTTAGAGAGGGCTGTAAAAGCACTATGAAGCGGTATATAAGTCTAAGTGCTATTGCTATTTAACCCCTGTTGTCATTCCAGTGGTGGCAGGACAGAGAAGCAGATGCTGCTGTCTCATTCTGAATCTCTAGCAGTGCAGAAACATGGCAAGTACTTGAGTGGAATAGTGCAGCCTTTTTGAACAGGTGGAGATACTTTCAACATTTGTGTGATGTTCCCCATTTTAAAAAAAGCATGAAGTGGTTTAAATAATCCCTAGGCAGGGAAGGAGCAAACCAGAAATTATAACAGTACCTTCTTTTTCTAAAAATCGTGGGCTCTGTCGAATTGCTTGTAGGGAAGCTGCCCGCTGGCACTTTTTCTGAAATAGGAATGAAATCGGGATTTCATGCGTGACCTGGGGACATTTCTGCTGTTGCAACCTTTCTCTTTTTGTTGAAATGTCCTTTTTAAAGGCATTGTAGAGAAATTCAATTTCAAAAAGCTCACTAAACTTGAATAATTTTCTTTGGTCAACATTTCCCTTCTCCCGCCATTTTCTAAATATAGAGCTTAATAGCCTGTTATGGCTAGGATTTCAGATTTTGTTTAGCAGCAAATGCCTTCCCCATGAGGAGGAGATCCCACTGCAGCAGTTTTAGATAATACCCCCTCCTCCAAATGGCTCCCTTATTGCCTCATTCCCCTAGGCTTCATCTTCCTCACCTCATGCTTCTGTAGGGTTGGGCTTGGAAGGAGGATGTTGCATTGGGAACATGTCACCAGCTGGTCATACATGTCATTGTGGGCCTGAGGCCCAGTGGAGGTCAAGATGGAGGCAAAGGCCTGGCAGCCAGATGCCTTTTTGCTTCTTGGAGACCTCAGAGATATTTTTTCGATAGAAGGCAGTTCTCTGTCCCTCCTCTTGGGCCGCACATCTTTCTCAGCCTTCATCTTCCAAGTAGGGGAAGAAGGAGCTGGAGTTGGAAGGCTCTGTAGAGATGGAGGAGACCGTGATCTTGCGGCAGAATGGGTGTCGAGAGCCCCCAGGAGCTGGGGAGATGAACTGCATTCATTCTGTGGGTGAGATAAAAGGAAAGGTTTCAAAGAAGGCTTGGTTAATTAGGTTGAGTAGCCATCATAAAAAGTGGGCAGGATAACCCAGTGGTGAAATCCAAATTTGTTTACTACCAGTTCTGTGGGCGTGGCTTGGTGGGTGTGGTGTGGCTTGGTGGGCGTGGTAGGAGAAGGATCCTGCAAAATCCCCATTCCCTCCCCACTCCAAGGGAAGGATACTACAAAATCCCCATTCCCTCCCCACTCCAGAGGAAGGATATTGTAAAAATCTCCATTCCCATCCCACTCTGGGGCCAGCCAGAGGTGGTATGCCAGTTCTCCGAACTACTCAAAATTTCCGCTACCGTTTCTCCAGAACCTGCTGGAATTCACCCCTGGGATAACCCATAAATTGTCCCAAGACACAGAGACAAGTTATTTTGCTTTCTGGGGTAAAACATCTTCATCCTTTTCACCTAGCTGGGTGAGAAGGATTTCCCTTTCTTCATGGCCAGCCCCACATTTCCAGAATTGGTCCTGACCCACAACAAAGGCCAAAGCTCAGTGGTCTGAATCCAGGTAGTCCTGGGTTCAAATATCAATATTCCAATTGTAGGGATAAAAGGTGAAGGGAAGTTTTTTTTCTCCTCTGCCCCATACTTTTTTTCTCTAGTTTCTGAAGTTCTTTTACAATCAGTTTGACTAAGGGTTTGCATTTAAGTTTATTTAAATTGTTGTCTCTTTTCTTTTTCTGATTTTAATTATTAGTCATTTGAAATCTCCCTACAAACCTTTAGTAATTGAGTCAATTGGAAACTTCATCAATCAGATAAAATCGGAAAGGACAAACTAGACCTAAGTGTTTTTGAAAACACATGTAACTCTGTTTGTTTGTTTGTTATACTTCTTAATCACCCATTTCCCTCAAAGATCTTAGTTCTTAGATTCATAGTTCTTGAATTCATTTACTGGGCACTTATATTATGAACCATAAATTAAATTTACTGAAGATGCTAGAGTATAAAAAAATTGAACAAGGTTAAAGGCAATCGTGCTTTTCATATCCTGCAAATGCAGCTGCTTCAGCTTTAACTGCTACAGTGAACATGAAAATATAGCTAGTATTTTCATAAAATTACCTGTTCTTCTTTGGCAGTAAAATTAGCACTACTTGGTTGGATACAAAGAGATCAG